CTAATAGCTGAAATAAGTTTCCAGCACCTAAAAGAAACATTTTATTTTAGAGGCCTAAATTTTCTGCTGAGTTACACAGATGTCAAACATATACATCCTTTAAACTTAAATGCGATCACAGTGAAGTGCCTTAACTGTTTGGCTGTTTTAGGTATTACTGAACCGTGTTATTTATACCTTCCTTCTATGAAGTCCATGTAGAAAACGAGCTATGGGGACTCCTGCTTCTGTGGTTTTCATTGTCCCACAGATTATGACCCCTCTCAAAGGACCTTTACACAAGACCAATGGTGTCAAGGACTCATGGTATGGCTCCGTAGAATAAAGACTGGACTTTGAGCCACAATGTTGCAATTCAAACCTACCAGCTGCTTCTAGGAAACCCTGTACAGGGTCACTATGAGTCAAAATCAACATAGTGTCGAGGCTGACATCTGTAGTGAACTGCAGATAACCAGCAACCAATCACCTTCATTTTCCTAGTTAGCCAGAGTAGTCACCAAAAGATTCGTGCTTGTCCAGTACCAATATCTGACTCAGAGTTGTTGAATGGATTTGCATTTTGGCTTTCTTCTTGTTGAGTTGAGTGTATTCATTGAGTGTAATGAAATTTTAGAGGCTCTGATAGAATTTATGTAGCCTCCTAATTGCTCTCCTTGTCTTAGGTTTCGGCCCTTCTCTTCTGTCCTCTAGCCTCTGAAACTTTTTACACTGTGAAGGCACACAGTCAATCTTATACTTTATTTAAAAGCTACCCCATGAGTTACAGGATTTAAACCAAGCCCTCTGTGGGCCTGTGAGCCAAGCAGTGTGGTACCCGAGGTCAGAGCACAGAATCTGAAGCCCAACCCCCAGGGATGAACCTTACTCCCCCACCTACCAGGTGAGTGACCTAGGGCTGGTTCCTTACAGTCAGCCTACTCTCTTCATCTGTTTAGGGGGATAAAAAGAAATAGACTGAGTAAGATTATTGTAGAGTAAATGTCAATTCCTATAAAACACTTAGAATAGTGCCTTACACATCATGAGGGTCCCCAAACATTGGTTGTTGGTATGATTGCAATCATTATTAGTATTTATTATAAGGTCTGTCATGTGATCACAGCCTCCAGTGATCTTGCTTCTAACCTCAAATTTCTTGAGATTTTGGTGTCCTTGAGTGCACTATTCCCTCTGCCTGGATCTCCTTGTCTTCCATTCTCCTCACATCTCTTCTCTGTGGTGAACATCTGCTTATCCCTAAAGTCCCAACCCAAATACCTCCTCGTCTTTGATGCATGTCCTTCCCCTGAAACCCTGCAAGTCAAATGGCTGGGTCTCTCTTCTCTGTTTCCCTAACACTTCAATGCCTTGGACTATGTCCCTTGCACTGTGTTTTTGATAGTCTGTCCCCTTTCTGACACTTGGAGACACCTAGGGTTTCCTTTATTTCTTTTCCCTCTAAAGTGAGAATTTCTCAAGGAAAAGCACAGTTCTTGCTGTGTGCATCCTGGCTCCAAGATCAGGCACACAGATGGTATTCAACAAACGTTTGCTGAACAAATCAATATTTCTTACCTTAGTTTTAAAGATGGTGGTGGTAGTGGTTGTTTGGGGTTAGTTTTGCTTTTAACTGCATTACTAAATGTATCACGAGAAAGATCTCAAATAGCTTGAAATGCTGGCTGAAGTGATTACATCTAACACTGTAGTTATTTGACTGCATAGCCATTTTTTTATCAGTCATTTAAAAAGACTGTCACAGGCTAGTTATGGAGACAAGAGATCATTATTTAAATCGCATTGCTTTTAACCCATCCGCAGTTTTAGTCTATATTTTAGTCTATAATTTAATGATGAGAAAAATATATCCAACAAGTAAATATTTAACTAAACATTTTGATACTTGACCTGAATGCAGAGAGTAAAACAGAAATTATAAAAGTTAAGATATAGTTTAGACATCTTTTTCCCACATTTTATTAGTGGAAATTCTTGGTATATTTTCATGAAGTAATACTAAACCCTTTCTCATATTCTAGGTATCTTATTAACAGATTTAAAAAGTGAGTGTAGTTTGTTTGAGAGAGTGTTGTTGCTAGCTGGGCCCTGAGTCGTGGTTTTTCCATGCACAGTGGAATAAAACGCTCCATCCACATGATCAGCTGCAGATTGGACCACTGTGTTCCATCTACTTTCAAATAGATGGTTTTGGAAATAGACACCAGACATTTCTTACTAGTCCATCTTCGTCTGGAAGCACAGCTGAAACTTGTTCAGCCTCATAGCAACTCAGAAAGCTCCCACTGACAGGCAATGGTTGCTGCCCTTGAGGTGCATTGGCTAGGAATTGAACCCAGGTCTCTGGCACAGAAAGCAAGAGTTCTACAATTACTTTGAAGAGTAATTGTTTTGCCCACATAGTTCCGTATTCCTGTTTTTCCTCGTGTGCTGCATCAAGTCATTTGGATTGTAAAGAGCGGAATCCACTCAAGCTAGTGAGTGTACAAGGGGACCTATCGTAAGAATTCCTGAGAGAGAGAAGTTAGAAATCTCATGGACATCCGAGGCCAGGGGTTCCATTGGAGCCTGAACTGCATCTTTTGTATGGTGCATACTCTCTCTTTGTTGTTTTCATTGCTTTTGCTCTGCACTCTTTTTTCACTGACTTTGCTTACTGGACTCCTAACCATAAAGTCTGCAGTTTGAGCCCACCAGCTACTCTGCAGGAGAGAAATTAGGCTTTCTGCTTCCATGAAAATTTATAGCCTTAGAAACCCTATACAGGGTCGCTATGAGTTGGAACTGACTCAACAGCACAGAACGTAACGACAGTGACTTCCTCATGGCAGTGCTTATACATGGCTTCAGATCACTGACTACACCCAGTCATCTCCTCAGTTTCTGTCTCTGTGCTCTCTCCCTTGTCGCTAAAGGCTGCCTTAGTCATGGTCCTGAGAGAAGAATCCTGATAGGGCCTAGGTTGTTGAACGCACTGGCTGCACAGTTTTAGGTGTCTACTTCTTTTAGGTGTCAACTGTTGTCCTGTGACTGAGGGAGACTCAAACATATGGCTTTCTAAAGAAGAGGTTGCAAACTCAAATGCTTATAGGCTCTAGGCCAGTTATCTAAATGAAGGAATGAGGCTGTGTGTGAGATGCAGACCTGGTTGCATATTATGCATGTAACAAAGTTGAATGGTATGTAGAAGCATAGTCTTTAGTAAGATAGCTTAGATTTGAAACCACAGCTCCAACACTGACCAGCTGAGTGCTTGGTGAAGAAATGCTCCATAGAGTTTCTGAGGCCAGAAACCTTTAAGGGAGCAGACTGCCTCATCTTTCTCTTGTAGAGTTGCTGGTGGGTTTGAACCACTGGCTTTTCAATTAGCATCCCAATGATTAATCCACTGAGCCACCAGGACTCCTATTATTTCTCTTTATGAGAAGCTCAAATTATGTTTGAGACTTATGTGGTGGTGGTGGTGGTTATGTGCTGTAGAGTCGGTTCCGACTCATAGCAACCCCTGTACAGGGCTTCTGAGGCTGTAAATCTTTACGGAAGCAGAAAGCCTCATCTTTCTCCTGTGAAAGAGATGGTAGTTTCAAACTGGTGACCTTGAGGTTCACAGCCCGATTAGTAACCACTACGCTACCAGAGCGGCTTTGTACTATCCAATAAAACCCATCCGTATGTTGACATCCATTGAATGAGTGACGTTTAGCCTGGGACTGCTCCTGTGGGAAGACTGTCACCTCAGAAGCTGTGAGTAGACCTCCTTGTGTAGATGAACTGGAAATCTGTACTTAACTGCCCTGTTGTCCCTCTCTGAGACAGCAGTGTGATGCAAGATGTATATAATATATTCTGATCTTAGGGGATACTTTAATGTGTATCCAAGAAAAGTCTTGTTTGTTTGTTTTTGTTCATTTCATAGAAAGAACAAATGAGAACTATAATATTTTTTAGTTCAGCTATATAGGCCCCCTACCGTACCTAACCTAAAAGAGATTCTTTCCTGGCAAAGGCCACACCTTCCACCTTATACTCTGAATTTTACTTAATTCTCACTTAGCTTCATGTATACAAAACAGCCTTCAGTTTTCACTTTTCACCCTGATCTATTACTTTTCTCAGACTTGCTCAGTTCCTCCAGTAGTTCAAGCTAAAGGCCTAGCAGTGATAGTCAGACCCAGATTTTGTCTCACAACCTGCCCTTCTGAGACAGACACACACACACATAGACACAAACACACCCCAGTATATTCTATTTTCCACACAGCAGCTGCCGTTCTCTTTTTAAAATATGAATCACCACATCACTCCCCTACTTAAACCCTCTAATTACTTCTCATCTAACTTAGAATAAATCAAGCCCAGGATCCTGGCCTACAACGTGCCCAGTGCATCTGCCCCCTCCCACCTCAGGCCGCTTTCCCCCATGCTTGCTGCATCAGAAATATTCTCCCTCATCTTCAAACACACCAGGCTATTTCCGAATTGTCACCTCCTCAGAAAGGCCTCTCCCCTACTGCCACCTGAGGTCTGTCAGAGCAAGAACCCTGTTTGCTTGTGTTCGTCACCGAGTTACTGCTGTGAAATGAATAAATGGCTGAACTGTGGGCATGTATTTGGAATAAGAAAAGTGTTAGAAAAAAAAAATTATATATATATATATATATATATATATATATATACAGTAAAGTCCATGACTATGAGGGCAGGAGAAAAAGGAGCAAGCTTCTTTTGGAATAATGAGATTTCCGATATTGCTAATACCGTAGATTTACTGAAAGTGCAAACGATCCAGAATGTGAGAGGGAATTTTTCTCAGGCCTGATGTGGCTGTTAGAAGTTAGTACTTCAACATTCCATTTCAAGTATTCTCATTAAAGGTAATAACAGAAAATTGCTGCCAAGATTGCCCCGGTATGTAGGTGGTGATCCCTTCTGTATAGCTGTTGATTTGTTGCGTTAATGCTAATTTATTTCATATACTTTTGCTTTTTGTTGTTTTTCAGGTCTGTTGCCACAGTTATTGGGAGTTGCCCCAGAGAAGGCTATAAAACTTACAGTAAGTCTTTTGAATTGGTACTTCTTATTTAGGGAGTTTGTACACAAATCTAGCGGGCATTCTGGGGTGAAACAGCAAGTTTGTGTTTCCTCGGGGGTGCTAGCTAATTTAAATATAAGAGTGCTCATCACATAAAGATTTTCATTACTGCCCATTTAACATGGAGCATCCTAAGACTTGACAATACATTTTTGGTAGTTGCCACTACACAGGGTTGCTATGGGTTGGAACCAAGTCAACAACTCAACAGCACTTAACACCAACAGCATTATCATCATCGTTGTCATTATCATAGTAGCAGTAGTAGCTAAAGTTTCTCAAATACTCACTGTGTTGTTGGTTTTAAGGGCCATTAAGTTGGTTCCAACTCATAGTGCCCATGTATAGGGTTTCCAAGGAGCAGCTGGTGGGTTTGACCTGCCAATCTTGTGGTTCACAGTTCAGTGCTTATCCTACAGTGCCACACCAGGACTCCACCTACTGTGTGTTGGTTTCAAATCTCAAGCAAAGTTCAAGCCACAGTTTACAGAACAGAGGGCTAAGACTCATAGGGCTTAAATAGCCTGCGGGTTTCACACAGTGCGTGAACTATTGTTGTTGTCGTCATGTGCCATGGAGTCGGTTCCGACTCATAGCGACTCTGTACAGGGTTTCTGCGGCTGTAAATCTTTACAGGAGCAGGAAGCCTCCTCTTTCTCCCACGGAACAGCTGGTAGTTTCGAATTGCTGTTCGTGAATGGGAGAACTATAATTCAAAATCTTTTTTTTTTTGCTCCAAAGTGTGTACTCTTCCAATCACACCTGCCACTTACTAACTGGAATTTATGTGAGAGGTGTATTCTCTAAGCATTTCTCAAAGCTGTTAGGAGAGGTTTAGGTTGACGTTGGAATCAGGCCTTCATAGGCAGCATCTGTTTTGTTGTTTCCTCAATGCCTGGCTCATGTCTCACAGATAATAGTGTTTATGGAATGGATGGATATTGCATGTAAATTATGAAGGCCATGAAGTCCCAGAACATTAGGCTTCAATTTTACTTTGAGCCGTGTAGTTTTGGCACCTGTGATTTTTCTTTTTCCATCCTATTATAAGGCTACGGTACATATAATCCTGTGTGGCCCAATTTTTGTTGCCGTTGTTGTTGTTGAATGCCTTAGAATGGGTGTAGGGTTTCTGAGGAGTGGTGGTGGGTGTAAACCACCAACCTTGCGGTTCAAACCAACCTGCAGTCCAGCGCTTATTCTCTAGTGCCACATAGCTACCAAAAACATCTGATTGTGCTTTAAAATTAATTGAGAATGTCACACTTACTTAATCAATTAATGCTATTTACATTCTTTGAGAATCCTTGAAAAATTTTTTAGATACTGAATTTCTACTTAAAATGATAAAACTGCTAGCCAATTTCTTCACAATGATAAATGCTGTATTAGATTGTCTAGTTAGAAACCTTGAAAGTGATTTTTAATCAAACCTTATAAAATTATCTTTAGCATTAAACATGCTTTTAGTCTGTTCTGAATATGTTTCTATTCTTACGCTATTCTTACTGCAGGACATATTTTAATGTTGGTTTGTAAACTAGTTATCTTTTCATTTCTATTCCTGAAATATCAGGAATGTATGTATGTATATGTATATATATATATATATATTTTTTTTTTTTTTTTTTACCCTTTAAGAACTACATTTATGTTGTTAAGAGTACTTCCAAAACTCAGATTTTAAAATCCACTAATGTATGTGGCATTTGATTACTCTGATTGGCTGGCAGAGAAAAAAATAACAAAGGCATATTTACAGATGTATATTTATGCATGTTGAATGACTTTCTTTATATTTTTCATCAGCTTCTCTAAATATTTTTCTTCAAGGTGAATGATTTCGTAAGGGATAAGTTTATGTGCAAAGATGGTTCGGTCCCACTTGCAGCAGAAATTCTTGCTGGAGGCTGTGTAAGTATCTTTTGCAGATCTTGACATTAAAAAGACTTGTTTCACCTTCCACCACTACCCTGGTAAACATGTGTGGACTAAGGTTTCTGTTTAACCATAGATCCTGTCCAAGGGCAGAGTCTACTAGGGCGTCTCGTCTTTTCCTAGACAGGCGAACCATTCCTGAGATGGAAGGGTAAATCTTTCTGATCTTATTGCCTGTGAAGTCATGCCTGTTAAATTCGCCATTGCTTGTGGTTGGTTCTGCACTAGAAGTCATTTGTGGCAGAAGTGTTTGGTCTTTGAACAATCTGTGCTGGCCTTTTCTAAAATTAATGGGTTTTGTTTATTTGTTTGTTTTTTTGTATGATTTTTTTTTTTCTTCATATTTTTCTTGCTGGGCTGAGCATTAAAATGTGTTGTTTGCAGTCAGCAACCATAGCTCTCTGCTTCGCTTTACTTTACAAGTGGCTGCAACTGTTGAAGCTTTCCAGTGCTTCTAGGAGAAGAATGCTGGGGAATAGCTGGCTTGGCGTGTGTGCATTGTCAAAAAGACTCAGATGGATTGTTTTTTTATATGAATGTACAACCTGCCTTTTGTTCTCAAGCTCAGCAAAAAACTGTGTCTCTTTTTATCTCATCTACCAGTTTGTTCATGTAAATACTTTGGTAAATTAAGTTCCAATACACAGGCTGGTGCTATATTTAAAGATAAAATTGGTTAAACAAGCAGGCTTTGATCACTAGGGCAATACTAAGGGCTTCAAAAAGCTCATAGAAAAATTTAATGAAAAGATAGTGGGATTTTTCCACAAACTTTTTGAAACCCCCTTATACAATATTTCCATTTAAATCTATGTTTCATTTCTTAACAAGAAGATATGTGTTCACATTTTTAAAATCCATTTGCTCTATACAGAAGATGTATTCACAAAATGGATTTTCTTTTTCTTTTTGAAAATCAGTGAGTTTAGATTTTGGGCAATCTGATAATACTAAATGTGTGTGTGTGGAAAGGGCTTATTGTCGCATTTAGCATTGACTGGCAAGTTTCTTGGATGTAGCAAAAGCTAAGAAGTCCTAGCTTCTGGTAGTTCTTAGGAGATGGATGGAATTGGCTACTGGCTGACTCTCCTTGTGTTTGATCACTGACCTGTCATAGATGACCAGGTAGGACCCCTTGTTCTGTAACTTTAGCAGCATTCAAGACAGACTAGGAGAGCCTGTAATGTCCTCAACAAAAAGTGCACACAATAGTAATCAAAGAGAAATAGTAGGAGTTGCACTAACTGCTTTTCTTGGTAATGGATATTCACTCAAAAACCTCCTTCTGATTTCCATTTTAGTCACCGTCATTTCTAATTGTGAAGGAGATTTATTCAAAAATTATTTATTATTTCTAACCCGGTCCTTTGGTCTATTGCAGGATAGCAGCTTGTATAAGTTCAGTGAGTTTCAGTAGATGAGGTGTTTTTGTTTTGCCTTAAGTAAGATTTTTAAACGTGCTGTGAAGACATGATTATATATCTCTGAAAACATTTTAAATGTAAAATCAATCATACGATACTACTCAAGATTTTGGCAATAATCATAGCATGTTGCCTTGAAGTTTATTTTCTTTTTCATGAAAGGATTTTGCTGGCGTGTGCACCTGGGTGCCAAGGAGATTGGTTGTGGCATGTATTTTCTACTGTAGGTGGTCTTGTTTGTTCGTATGTGGTGGCCCATTTCAAACACAAAGCACAGGTTGGCATCAGAAGTGGTGCCTAGTCATTGTGAAGAACTGTAGCCCTTTTTCAAGCCTGACCTAAACACAGGCTTAAAATTGGAGCCACTTGGGCTTTACAGCTACTTAAAATATCTGTGAGATGAGGTTTGCCATCCTTCATCTCAGAGGCGGTAGACAGTTGGTCCTTGGTTGTTTCAAGTTGCCTATTTTGGATCCTCCCTCTTAGTCCTCCCTCCCCCACCCCCCCAATGTCATTGCTTTAAGAAGAGCTTATTTTCAGGTAATCAATCCTGTAAGTACCTTTAGACCTCAGAGTGGAGGGCTGAGTAACTCCATTTTTAGTGTGTTGTTAAGTAACAGCAGCATTTCTCTTTGCAGGCACTTTTCCCATAACTGTTGCATGTCATATACCTTAGAAAGCCGCTGTGAGTTCCACAACCTCACCTGTCCAATCGGGAATACAAAGGGTCTTGGAAAGTTGCATCACCTGAGCAATTCCACTTCTTAGTTCACCCAAGCATTGCTAGGCATTGATTTGTTAAGTCCCTGGGGGATCTCACCTTGCTTCATTATTACTGAGAATTTGGACACATGGCTGACTTTTGCACTTATAGACAAAGATTCTCATTCCTTTGAACAAGGCTTTTTCTACTTTATAATCTGTTCGCTCCAAAAGCAAAGAAAATATACAGGGGGCTTGTTGTTTCATAACTTATATATAAAATTTAAAGTTTCTAGTCATATATATATATTTTAAATGTAAGTAATAGTAAATTTAGAGGAAAAGAAAATTACTGACACCTAAAGGAATAAAATTAATACTTAATAATCAATTCCTTATTTATTATTTTTGATAAAATAAGATCTGTAACGGATGAGATTTTTATATCATCTTTTATTTCACTGATGTATGTAAATGACAATATTGTAAAAGAGTAAAACTGATTTTTTTTTAATTAATTGTGGTGAGATTAATTTTATTGGCATATGAGTTAAATTTAATAATTGTAGGAGTTCTGACAGAACCCTGTACCCTAAGACTTTCCCTTACAGAATATATATATACCTTCAGACTTCCTCCTTTCTCCATTTCTTTCCATTCTTCTCCTTAGTTGTCTGTCTGAATTGAGGACCACCATTTCCAGTTCTGTTCCCATTGGCTTTAAAATCTGATTATCTCTGTGTATGTCCTTGTCGTAACTTCCATGCTATTGAATTAAGAAAATGGCGTATGTCCTGCTGTATGTTCTGTAGATTGCAGTCCTTAATTAAACAAAATAAGTGTTCACTACAGGCATCTAATACAAGAGAAGGTTGAAATCCCAAGGGGCCTGGGATCTATAGACTTTGCTGCTTTGATCTTAGGAAGGTCATCAGGATAAAGATATATAAATGATGCCATGACTAGTTTTAAGGAAGAAATATAAATATGTTGATTAATATGTTTGGCATGAAAATAAATCTAACTTGAAATAAAATTATATTAAACCAGAAAAAAAGTCCAAAAACTATGAAACTGTCTTATAAATAACTAGCAAAGATTCTTTACACACCAATAGAAAATTGTAATAATATTCTATAGTGTTTAAAAAGACAAGCATGCATTTTGAACTTCAATCCTTTGATAATGAGTTTTCAGGTATTTGTTGTTAAGTGCCGTCAAGTTGGTTCTGGCCCCTGCTCGCTTGGTTCCGTTGCAACCACGCCGCACTCTTCTTTCAGGTATTGTTGTTGTTGTTGTTGTTAAGTGCCGTCGAGTCGGTTCCGACCCATAGCGACCCCGTACAGGGTTTCCGAGGGTGTAAATCCTTACGGGAGTAGAAAGCCTCATCTTTCTCCCGTGGAGCGGCTGGTAGTTTCGAACCGCTGACCTTAAGGTTCGCAGTCCGATTCGTAACCACTACGATCAAATACAAATATACACACATACACATGTAACATATATGTGCTTATAGAGAGAGATATAGACGTGTGTGTGTATCTGTGCATGTATCTGATGTTGATAGGAGGTTTGTCTTTATTTGGAGTGAGAAGAATAACTGATTGGGTCACATCACTGGTTCTAAAAGGAACTGGTAAGATTATCACAGTTGGAAAAGCCTGGAATGAAGAGCAATTTTAACTGCTTTTCATTGCAAGTCACTGGCTCCGATTCTGCAGGATGTGCTTTCAGTACTTAGGGGATTCCATATTTATGATAGTTTATTGCTTGTTTGTACAGTCAAGATCAGGTAAAACTTTTAAGGTAACTTTTTTGTACTCATCTTTTTTACATTACATTCAGTTGCAGTTAATTTTTAGTACTTTAACAATTACTAACAAAAAGATATAGACACACTTATACCTACCATCTAGCTTCAGAAGTCAGCCTTGACAAGTGCAGCTGGAGGCCCTGGTGTACCTGTTCCAATTGCCTTATTGTCCTTTACCTCCAAAAACATTACTTTGCCCTGAAATTGGTGTTTTTCATTCCTGTGAATATCTTAATCCTTCTTACAATTTATTAGTGTTGTTGTTGTTGTTGTTGTTGAGTGGGTTCCAGCACTTAATGACCCTGTCCGTGGAGTGACTGGTGGGTTGACCAACCAACCTTTCTATTAGCAGTTCACTGCTTATCCTGTAGCACCAAATCAGGACTCGTGTGTTGTGTTATCTGTAAGCAATATAAGAAGAAGTGCAGCCAGAGTCTGCTCCTTGGAGGCCAAGATGGCCAAACTTCGTCTCTCATACTTCAGACATTTTGCCAGGAGGGACCAGTTGATGGAGAAGGATATCATGTTTGGTAAGGTGGAGGGTCAGAGAAAAAGAGAAAGACCCCCAATGAGATGGATTGGCCAAGTGACAGCGTCGATAGACTCAAGCATGGCAACAGTAGTGAGGCTGGCCCAGGATCTGTCAGTGTTTCGTTCTGCTGTTCATAAGGTCGCTATGAGTTGGAACCGACTCACTGGCACCTAACAACAACAAAAACAAGCAATATAAAGGAGTCCTGGTGTGGCGCTGTGGGTTAATGCACCAGACTTGAAAGCCATTTGAACTGCAAGGTCCGGCAGCTCAAGCTCAACAGCATCTCCTCAGAAACCCTATACAGGGTCACTATAGGTCAGAATCGACTCGATGGCACTTAACAACAACAACAAGAAGCAATGTAAATGTGTGATTTAGAAAACTGCATTGTGGACAAGTACTACAGGAACAACTCAAAAGATTCCCAGATTGAGGTCTTTGCTTTTTTTCTCTTTTATCATCAGTGCAACTCATGTTCTTTGGTTGTCAGAAGAGAATAATAAAT